TTTTCTTTTTTGCGACAGGGTCTCACTCTGTCACCCAGACTAGAGTGCAGTGGTGTGATCTCGGCTTATGATAGCCTTGACTTCCTAAGCTCAGGTGATTCTTCCAGCTTATCCCCCCAAGCAGCTGGGACTACAGGTGTGTGCCACCACACCTGGCTCATTTTTTATATTTTTAATAGAGACAGGTTTCACCACGTTGCCCATGCTGGTCTGGAACTCCTGAGCTCAAGCAATCTGCCCACCTCAGCCTCCCAAAGAGCTGGGATTACAGGCATGAGCCACTGCGCCGGAGATAAAAAAGTATTTCGCAAAAAGTTCAAGCTTTTCATGTCTGCTGGTGTAGCTGCAGCAATGGCTTCATGCATTTCCTCTTCTTTTTTTTAAAATAATGGTCCTTACACTTAATTTACTTACCTTGAAATGGAGGGCAACTACAACTACAGACCTCAGTCTACAGTACAATTCAAATTTTTCCTGTAAGGTCATGTCTTGTCTCTGCTTTGGGAAGCACTTTCAGTACTACCAGTGGTATAGGTCTTTGTATAGGTCTTATGGTATTACTTAAGGTTTAGGTTATTGCACTAAACAGGATGCAAAATACTCAAGAACAAAGAGAGATCACTTTTTACTGCAATACACAATTTACTTGATGAACTGTTCACTGCGATGTGATTAGGGTCACACAGCATTTTAAATGGATACTCACAATACTTGAGATCACCGCAATAGCAACAAGAGGTGGCTACAAAATTATTACAGTAGTATAGTAGGTACTGCAGTTAATTTTATGCAACTACAATTTAATACACTGTGTTGTTTACATTTGTTTATATTTCTCTAGACTGAATGGTGCCATGTATACGGTCTCTGACTGTGTGCATAAGTTTTGAAACATTTTAAGTTTTTATAATTTTAATAGATGTGGCTATTTCATGGTAATAAATGATAAAATGAAATAGCATCTACATATATTTATGCATTCATTACATACCTTTTAAATTTTTTCAATATTTCTCAATATTTCACAGTTCATCTGTTTTTCCAAACTGTTCTAAATCTCAAAAAAAAAACCAAACAAACAGACAAAACCTGCCAGGCGCAGTGGCTCATGCATGTAATCCCAGCACTTTGTGAGGCCAAGGCGGGCAGATCACGAGGTCAAGAGATCAAGACCATCCTGGCCAACATGGTGAAACCCTGTCTCTACTAAAAGAATACAAAAATTAGCTGGGCATGGTGGCACGTGCCTGCAGTCCCAGCAACTAGGGAGGCTGAGGCAGAAGAACTGCTTGAACCTAAGAGGCAGAGGTTGCAGAAAGCTGAGATCACGCCACTGCACTCCAGCCTGGCACCTGATGTCTTTTTCCCTCTATCTCAGGGGGAAAAAAAATCCAATACATTTAATGAAAAAATATCTGCATATAAGTGAACCCATGCGGCTCAAAGCCATGTTATTCAAGGATCAACTGTATAACTATGTTGGCTGGATATGCTAACACATTTATTTTCTTTGAGCCTGACCCTCAACAGGCTTATCAATACTTTTTATAAATCTACTTAACCTTTAAGAGTATTTTAACAATAAAGTATATATAATAAAGTGGCTAGCCACACACCTACAGTAAGAATTCAAAAAAGAGTAGCTGCTGCCATTATTATTTCTATATCCCTGCCCTCTTCTCAGGCGACCACCTCAACTACTTTAATGAGAAAAATGAGGCAATCTGATGTGAATCAATGCTCAGTTTTGCTTCTCCCTTCCACTTCAATTTTGTCATTGTATATTATTTGCTTCTTCTCCCTAGTTTTAGAGAAATGGGGTAGTCTTTTTTCATTTTCAGAGTCAACCCTCATTCTGCACTTCTGATCCTAGCCCTTCACCTCTACCTTGGTTCAATTAATTGTATTTCTTTCTCCACTCTCCTGCTCCCCAATGGGTCCTTGCACCTAACCTATAAACACACTCAAATTTCCTCACAGAAACACCTATTTAACACCACTATGGCACTTTTTAATACCTCTTCTTGAATTACTTACCATAATCTATCCAGAATCAGTTACCTATTTATCAGTATTGTCCCTTAATGAACTGTTAACTCCTTAAAGACTGAGGGTTATTTCATCTATCTTCACTGTATCTTCCAGTAACACTGATTATAGTACTTTACATGCAGAACAGGCACTTACTGAATACATTTTTAAAAACCTAAACAATAGATTTTCTGCAAACATATAAGGGCTATTTTGACAAAAAGTGCATCATTTGATTTTGCTTCTCAAATCACTGACAGAAGAAAGACAAAGAATTAACATATCAACACAATCTTAAAATAATTTTACAATATCATTATCCTTGAAGTCTCACAAATCAAAATTATTACAATTGTAAACATTTCAGGAAAAAATGATCTACACAAATGTATTTTGAATCCAGAAATTGTGAGGCTTTATTCTTATTATAATGCTAAGGGATCTTTCCCTTAAATATTTTACTTGTTTTTCATAAACCACCAATAGTTACTATTAATAGTTACTAACAACAAATAATAATTTTAGTTAACAAAAATAATAGTTAACTAACAAACAATTCAAGAGTCTGAAGGTTCATTTGTTGTATGCTTAAATAAAAACAAATTTGTAATCATAAAATTATCTAAACTGTAATTTTATATCTAATGTATCAAACATGGTTAAGCAAATATGCAAAGACTATGATAGGAACGGTCTACCACACATTCCATACTCAAAAGGGGTAAGAAATTCACAAGACTGTTTCATAAAGTGCTCCAGTTAAAACTTACATAGGTCTGGACATATACAAAATGTTGCTTAAATTTTCAGTTTTATTTTATTGCACTTCCTGGGGAAACTCACATGCAGGTTGCATATCCTAAACCTGCCTTTATTTCCTGGCTGGTTTTGTGCCTCAATTTCCTATTCTTTGAAATAATGGTATCTAACTTATCAAAAGAATTTAACTTGAAATCAGGTGATGCACACAGTGCATTAGGAAAAAACATGTCATAGAGGTTTCATACAAAGTGTTGCAGTTGCAGGCCAGGCATGGTGGCTCACGCCTGTAATCCCAGCACTTTGGGAGGCCAAGGCAGGCAGATCACCTGAGGTCAGTAGTTCAAGACCAGCCTTGCCAACATGATGAATCCCTGTCTCTACTAAAAATACAAAAAATTAGCTGGGTGTGGTGGTAGGCTCCTATAATCCCAGCTACTTGGGAGGCTGAGACAGGAGAACTGCTTGAACCCAGGAGGCGGGAGGTTGCAGTAAACTGAGATCACACCATTGCAATCCAGCCTGGGCGACAAGAATGAAACTCCATCTCAAAAAAAAAAGAAAGTGTTGCAGTTGCTCAATAAATGGTAACTGCTGAAACTGCTATTTTTAATAATACTGTTAATGCTAACAGTAGTAGCATTAAAAGTAAATACAGGGATTTCCATGGAGTCTGATGTTATGGGTATTTTCAGTGTTTTCCAATCATTTTACTTCTCTTTTCTTAGAAAAAAAAAAGTATGTTTCTTCTTTGAAGCTGTTCTTAAGGCACAGGTGTCTGGCCCACCACCCCACCCCCTAATCTCTTAAGGGGATCTGCTGCCCTATTTCTCCCTGTAAACATTTTCCATACCTAAGGTAGGTGGCTGAAGCACCAGCACTGGCATAGGAACCAGAGCTACACAAGAAAGAAAGATGGAGTCCCAACAGGGGACAGAGAAATAACAAAGAGGAGACTGTGTCTGACAGTTCAGACAAAATACAATGCTGCCCCTCCCCTTTTCAAGAAATACTACAGGAGTCTACTTGGCTAGCCTCAGTATGAGTACAATGAAGTATGTTAAACAAAACGGGGTGAACAGGGAAGCCCCACAGCTCAGTTTCGTATAAAGAGGTAGGTACAGTTTAGAGATTAACATAAGCACTTCCAAGTGTAGGACAGTTTACAGCAAAAGGCAAGTAGGCAGGAAACTGCTATATTAGTTCAACTCAGCCATTTACCATAAATTAAGAAGGCCTTTCGTTATTACTTACCATCACTCATAGTTGAGCATTTTAAAAATTGTAAGTCAAAAGGAATCCCTCTCTGCAAGTGAAAAACCTAGTTTTTGGAAACAAGTACTTTCTGTGCATCCTTGCCCATAATTGTCTTATTTGGTTTACTATTTTGACTTATGCCTTTATCAGAAACCAGGGAAGTCCTTGTGTCATCTCTGGCAGATGAGAAAGATACATAATCTTACATCCTCTAAGCAATATACTGACTCAAGAGTATGAGCTGTGGAGACAGACCATCCTTTACGGATTTACCTTTCTCTCATGGGGCCTCAGTATTCTCATTTATATGATAATTTTCTTCTGATAAAAAGTTTAATGAAGTATAACTTTTAAAAATTACCAAATAAAAGAATGTATTAAAAATGTGTATCTGTTTATAACTACTTACTGATACTATCATAACTTTTAATATAATTTCTATTAAATGTAGGGCAGATAAAATTTACTATTTTGATTAACATCTGTAAGAAAAATAACATTTTACTGAATGGTTACTGTGTAGCTGGCATTTTTCTTAACATATCACATATATTATCTCCTTTAATACTCAAAATGACCTGAAATATATTATCCTCATTTTGTAATTGAATAAATTAAGTCTCAAAAACATTGGGGAAATTGCCTAAAGTCACATAGCTAGTAAGTGGTAAATCCATAATTCATACCCAAAACTATCTGACCCAAAGGACAATTTTCCTAACTGCTGCATAGTTTCTCTGATAGATAGAAGCAAAACAACAAGGCTATCTTCAGAAGAAAGTTAGATAAGCTTAAACAAACATAATCCCTCCCAGTTCCTAAAGGACTGAATCATATCTGACAACTCAATACTGAAACTGGTCTATATCTGCCAAATATGAGTCCTAGTTAGGTGGAAAGTTTCTTTGTGCTCCACTAGAGCTAATTAAAAAGCTAGATCAGAAAACTGTTACCTGTGTTGCCATCTCCACTCTCCATAGATGGTTTACTGGTTTCTGACGGATTGTTCATTCTTGAGTCTGCAATAAATCAGAGGTGAATAAGGTTTTTAAAAAACTGGGTATGGAGATGGGATTGAGGAGTCATACTTGTGGCAGAAAAAAAGGGTTAACTAATGTAATAATAATATAGTTCAAGGAGACCTAGTGTATACATGTCAGGCTAACACATTAGAAATTGTAATAAAAGGTTATCTGGGAAAAATTCAAAATTGCCCAGACCCTGAAGGGATTCACAAATAAACTGTCTTTTTAAAAACTTTTGACATTCTTTCAAGAAAGACAACAGAACTGTAATCTAAAAAAAATTAGAAAGTCTGATATGTAAAAGGAATAAATGCTTTGTAATGTGAAGTATAAAATATATTAAAGAAGTAAAACTGGAGAGAAGGGAGGCACCTCACAAAATAAAATGTTATTCCCAAATAAAGTATCTTTTCTCAATATGCAATGATATTCATTCATTATAACCGAAACAACCCACTGGTAATCTTGATAATAGATGGGACACTAACTCAACCCATGAACTAAAAGAAAACAACCTCTAAGATAAATTATCTCCAAATTTACACCCCTCCCCAACCAAACTAAACAAGTTGAAGTGAGAACATATGAAATTCATACCTCAACTACAAACCAGTACAAGTTGTACCATAAGGCGTAACAGGTACAGTTATTAATCTCAAAACTGAATGACAAACACACGCACTTAAAAGTAATACCTACCCTAAATGAAACTGCTACTATGAGTTTATCATTTCTGGGTTATCTATTTTTTTATTTCCATAGTTTAAAGTTTTCATCAAGCAATATTAGGTATCCCAGAAAATACATTAAGAGAAGACAAGAACTCTGCTTCCCTTCTAACTCTCTGAAAGGGTAAGAAATGAAACATACAGAAATATATCTCTTATTCTACTACTGTAGACTCAAACTTAGAATATAATCAAACAAATTTACTGCCAAATAAGTTCAGCCTTTCCCCCCATTGACTTATTTAGTGGTTAAATAAGTTAAAACATTTAACTACAATTATTAACAGAAAACAAATGTTTAAACTATATTGTGTTTTTGGCCAAAGAGCACGTTTGGTCACACGCTTAAACATCTAACTAGGAAATCAAAACAATCACTAGATAGAATTCTCAACCATGTTCTTCACAGTCGAATTATCCCCATGGATAACAGATGAGAAAAAAACATCAGGAGTCTTTCTTTTATAAATTTCATTTACAACAAGATGTTTAATAGCTTTTCTAATACAGTAAGTTTCTGTAACTGATGCTTGTCTTAAGGGCTTAGGTAGTTCTGTCACAACTTTGGTTTGGTTTTCTAATGTTCAAAGGGTTCAAATTCATGTTTGTGGTTGTAAATGAGGGCAGTTCTACAACTTGCTTCTCCTCACTGTCCAGAGAAATCTAGATGTCATCTGAAAGCATACTACGGTTTGAAAGGAAAAGGTGTATAACTCAGTGAAAATGAGCTTTTGAATGACAACCAAAATCTTACGAGAGATCACAACAAATGTATAGAATATACCATTAACAATGCTCAATGCTTCCTTTAAATGAATTTTAATGGAAAGTAGAAAAAATGATGAATCAGTTAACATTAGTAAAAGGAGTAACAGTTTTCTCACCTATGTGGGCACCAAAGAAATAAAGCAGCATAATTCTTAACAAGTCATGAGCCCCACCTTATACAATTCATATTCTAATTTTCCCATCTAAAAGTTAAAGACTATGTCACAGGGATTTTAAGTGAATCTTCTCAGAATCTTCTACTGAATTGTCAAGAGCTTCAAAAGCATTAAACAAAATCATCTCAATACACACAAAAATAAAACATTACTTCACATACACACAAAAATAGAGTTGCACAACAGAAGACTGTTTAAATAATGTTTTTCTATTAAGTGAAAGTAAGAGATATAATTTCTAATTCTAAGATGAAATGTTAGAATCTTCCAAAAAGGTATTTTTCTTTCCTTTTTTAAATTCCCAACTAAGTAAATGTCAAAGAGTAAATACAAGATTTAATTCCTGACATAAATTTGTTGTTTGTGTCATTCCCCTTTACATAGTGGCTTTGCTTGTGCTGGGCAGATATTGCTACCCTGGGTTTAGGCCATGCCTTCCACACAAGAATTCAAACATTTTCAGTATGAAGGTGACAGGAGTAGCCTCAATTTTCAAGTCTGGAAAATGAAAATATATTAAAAAAAGTCATTTGCAAAAGTTTTAAACGTGAGATATCCAAGTCCTAGAGTTCATATCATTTAACTTTCCAGGTGACTAGAGTAACTTAAAAAAGTCTCAATAATTCTGCATACAAACAGACAGAACTCCACACAAAATATGACCACCATTAGCCACTGATATCTAAAAATCAAAGTGCCTTGATTTCTTTGAAATTTCTGTCACCAAAGATGATTTAAATATATTTAAGCTGGCATCTTCCTCTCCAAAAGGCTTGCTGCTCTATGGAGAAAACTCTAAAATGAGGTTTTCCAACATTCAAAATTGTAGTTATCTACAGTATATACTTGATTTAAAAAAATAAGAGAGACTAATCCTAGCAAAAATTTGAAAACAGTTAATAGTTTCTAAAATCTGGAAATTGATCAACAGATCTACTGCAGCAACCATTACAATTACCCTCTTTATTAACATTTATGAAATTCTTCACTGTGACTCGACTTTATTTTTCATGGAGCATTTTGGTTTTTGTATAAGACACTCTCATTAGGTATGAAAAACATTTTTGTTAATATGTATATATTATCTATTACAGTTATGCCTTGTTTCAGATTTAAGATGTCTTTATAACTACATGAAATGTTCTCAATAGGAATTTCCAAAAAGCAAAAATGTTCATTCAAGCTGAACTCTAAATTCACTGTATTTACTAGTAATAACCTCTGAACCAGAAGAGCTAGTCACAGGGAGGGACCTACTGCAAATTCAAGTAAGCTTGTGCTTTGCAAATGCTTTCCTCCTTCCCAGCTCAGTCCAACTCTCTCCCTCCCCCCATATAGGCTGCATATGCGATTAAGCATTTATGCATAGTCAACCCCACATACGCTATTTCCATATTAAAGCTTCTAAGAGAAGAACTGTGCTGGTACCCACCTAGAACATAGTCACTGCAGTCCAGCATTGCTGTGAAATCTTCTAGAGGAGCAGAGAGTCCAAACAAGGAAGAAACAGGTAGCGATTTGGGGTGGGGAAAGAAGGTACTACTATTTCTAACAAATCTACACTATGTTCTTAAGAGAAAAGGGGGGAGTGGGTAGGGTGGAAAGTGGATTAAGGGGAAAAGCAAAATCAACTTCTGTTACACCATAGCAATCTTCAACTGAATAAGGAAACTTCAGTTGCTCAGAGGAGTTTTAGTCTCTCCTACCAGCTAGGACTGACATTGTCAAGGCAACTGAAGCATGAAAAAGTTCCTCTTTTTGTAATAAAATAGAAACAAAGATTGCAGCTGGCAGTTTCCATAATGAAGCTTAATCAGTATGCGCGTGATTAAGGCCTTATGCAAATCTCTTCTCGTTAGCACAGCAGCCAGCACTTTGAAGTCCATGAACAATTCATTTACAGAATATACTGAAAGCACTCCCTGCATAATTTAAATCGTTGCATAAATATTTATCAGTCCATTTGCATATTAATTGGCAGTGCATGAAGGGAAAAATTATCTCCTGAGTGCCAGCATAATAATTAGGAGGATAAAATGAGACTTCTTCCAATGGCCTGGCTTCTTGGACCTAACTGAAGATAGTACCAGGGGAGAAGGGAGGTACAGGAGACAGAGTTCTGTTAAAATGCCACTGAAATGACACGTACAAATTAGAAACAACTCTACAGACTTAAGCACCTTTAATCTTATTCCTGCTGGCAACAATGACTTCAGTAATAAGAGGATTTGCAAAAAGCTTTCTACACAATCCAAATAATCCCAAGGAAACAATTAGCAAGGTAGAAGCAGAACACAAGGCTGTCAAGATGGTGCTAGTCTACTGATAGGAATTTTCCAATTCTTAACACACTTCTGTCAAGAGAAAGTCCCACTTTAAGACATGGCAACAGTAAACCCAAGAGCACTGCAAAGTGTATAAAGTGTCTTAAAGAGTATAGAAGTTCATTATCTACAAATCTTTTTATACTATCAAATTAACAGAATAGATTAGCTGAATGCAACATATTATGCAGTAACCTTCCCCCATGAAAATCTATCTCAAGTAGGAAAAAGTTTGTTACTTAGAATCTCTATTGTCAAAGGGTGGGCCATGTAAATTGCGGAGTTACTTAGTATTTTCAAGTAAATTTCACTTAATGAACATACATACATGTATATAATCCTTACTAAACTGTGTTTATTAAATTTAAAGTACATTTACAAGGTAAGTCATCAACTCAAAACTGTTAAGGCATTATAACATGACAACATTACAGCCTAATCATCATAGACAATTCAGAAGATTTATTTAAAAACCCATGGAGTAATAAGCATTATTACCCTTTTCTTTCCCTAAATATTATTAAAATAAGGAAACTGAGGCACAGAGAACTAAAACACTTTATCCAATGTCACACTAGTAATTTGGAGTCAGGATTTAAAACTAAAATTTTCTGACATCAGAATCTGTGCTCTTGGCTATTCCTATGCATTATGGATGAGTTACACATGTAGGGAATTGCTGGGAGGTGGTAAAGGAACAGACTGAATAGTTTGTTTTCACTGCAGTGAGGAAACCAGTAAACGCTGGCAAAGGCATTGTGTTTAAAAGTCAGGTGTGTACAGATATACAGAAGAGAGCCCTAGATTTGAGAAGCGTTCTCAAAGATGTCATCCTACTAATAACTGCTTTTATTTAGAACTAGTCTTCAAGAATATCAAACATCTGATTTTTAAAATATGTATGCACCTTTTCCCAACATTAAGGTTGAAATTAAACTCAACATGCATATGAGGAAATGAAAGACAAGGTTTTAAAAAGAAGCCTTTAAAAAGATTCCCCTGCAAATCAGTAGAGGACCAGAAACCTGAAACTTTTGGATCAGCACTCCGTATTACTAGTTTTTCTGTTTTACAGAATCACAAAATACGTATGAGGAGAGACTTTGTGGGGAGAAACTTAACACTGCCATTTAGTACCTGTAATACCTGTTTAAGTTCCTTCCCTCTTTGGGTCTTAATTTTCTCATCTATAAAATAATGATGATATCCCTTTAATGAGGTTATTGTGAGGTAAATGTTTTCATGCTTCTCATAAGAGTGTGGACTGGAAGAATGTGATGCAGTTGTGCCAGGGCAGACATCAAGTTGCTGGATAAACATGGTCCATCTTTTGAAAGCATCAATACAATTTAATATTTCACACTACTTTGTATTAAAATAAGAATATATCATAGAAGAGAATACAAATTTCAAATGAGTTTTTAAGGTAGAATATGTTGGATTATACAAATTCTCCTTGGTGAGAAAAGATGAAAAGCAATGGTGAATGTGACTAGATTATAGTAGATATCAATAAATGTTTATCTCTCTCCCCTTCTGCCTTTACAAAATTTTTTTTTTATTGCTTGCACCTATTATAAGATATTTCTGCAACTTACCATCTTCCCTTTTCTACTTTATGTAATAACATCTTTAAACTACCTTTCTAGTGGCAGTGTGGTCTTTCATATCTTAGCTAAGGATGACTTGGAGCCAGACAACCATTGCTGACTAAGAAATGTGTCTGTACCCAACAGGAACAGCACCTTTCTAGTGAAACAGCCTCCCGCTAGGCTAAGAGAGTCCCACAGGGCCTGTGTACAGCAGGGAGGCTAGAGTTTACCAGCCCACACAGGCTACTATTTAGCGTGAGACCTCCTTCCCCTCTACTGCAAAGCTCACCCAGGAAAAAAGCTCACTTTGCTACAGTGGGAAAGAAAGGCAAGAAAAACACCTTTCTGCCACTCTTGATCTATGTACCCTATTAATTTTAGAGGGAAAGTTTAACTACCAGGAGTTTGTCCAAGCCTCTACAGATGGATCGGGAGAGGGATGGCCACCATCTCTCACTTGTATTCCCCAACCATGGCACATCTATGTCCAAAAGAAGAAAATAACAGCTTTTCCCACAAAGTTCAGATGTTCACTTCACTTCGCCATCTGTCTGAAATATTAGCAAAGAATCACTTAGATTAAAACTTAGCCTAGAAAGAACACCCCTTATACAAAGGAAAACCATTTCTGAGAGGTTTGTTGGATTGTTGGTCATTCATACTTCAGCATGAATTAATACAGAATGAATTAATTCAGAATGAATTAATACAGTCCCATTGCTTTCATTTAACCCCTAGTTCAGGGGTTGATTAGTGAGGCAACGGTTGTTTCTACTAGAAAAGTGGCCAATAAATAATAAAATAACTGATGTTTAGAAGACCTGGATTGGGGGTGGGGTAATAGGGGTAAAGGGTACATAGAAGGAAGTAATAACAGGAAATAGTAGTAACATATAAAAGTATAAAAAGGAGCTGAAAGGGCAAGTTCAAACTCATGTATTTCAAAATTATACCTAAAATGCAGCATTTTTTTTTCTAAAAGAAGGGACAAACACTCTTCCAGGACCCAGAATTCATGGTTAACACTGTTAGTATTAAAATACTTTTACACTCATGATCTTATGGGCCAGTGTAGGTATCATTAGAAATGAAATTGAGGGCAATGACAACTAAATCAAAGTAGTGTTTTAAAACACGCCTTTTTATATGAGATGAAATTGAGACTGGCCTATACTCTACCTTACTAAATCATTAACATCCAGCCTGGTCATGCTGTATTCAAATAGCCATTGGTACACCCTATTCCGTACTGTCTGTATAAATAGTTGAACAGGTAGAAACGTTTGACTCAACAATTATTCCCGCTTACCTCCATTCTATAACATGACAGGGAGTCTGTATCTTTTAGCTTCACTAGTTTCACCCGAGGCAATCTCAACAGTACACCAATATCCTTTCTAACTTCTTTTCCAATCTACCAATAATTTAGTGTCTTATTACTTACAGAAAACAATGATATTTCTTCAACATTCAGTAATAAAAATAGTTAACTCAAGCATTATAAATAGTTACCAAAAAAGTCCAAAAAATCCATCACACACATACAGCCTAAAATAATTTTACTAATGCCCACCAATGAAAGAACATTCCAGGATCTGAAAATTTTAGACACAGAATCAAGTGATAGGTGTTGGCACTGCCAACATTCTTGTGCACTACATCGCAGAACATGTAAATGATCCGGGGTCTCAGTGACAAAAAAAAAAAAATCTTTCAGAATAACTTAATAGAATTTCTATCATTTACTAAAAATCTGGATGGGCAGGTATCACAAAAGAAATGTACTTTATCAACGTGGCTATTAAGTACTGCCAAATAATAAGCAATCTGAAGGATAACCTTACTCCATAAAAAGTAAACTGAGGCCTACTTAATGACTCTTAGGGTCACATAGCTACTAACAGAGAGCCAGGGTATTGTGGGGTTGGGGACTCAAGCAAAATAAGGAGGCATGAGAAGAAGACAAGTAAAATGAAATATGTAAAAACTCTTATCCCAAGAGGCTGAGACTAGTAATTGGTTGAACAAAACCATCAACCTAAATATCATAAACACATGTACATAATCATTTTATTTTAACCCAAAGCATATAAATATGCACTTATTCACCAATCTTTTAGGTCAAAGCCTTTTCTTTGAGTTTGGATCCAAACTCAAAAGTTTTTTAAGCTTTCCACTGAAAATCACATTTTCATTTTACATTGTACATATATGTACAGACTATTAAAAAACTCAAGAAAAGCTCCATAAAACAATGCTCATTTCCAGGTATAAATGTATTGTAATGTGTTCTAAAATATTTCTTTAAAAAAATTGTTGACTTAAACCCATTAAATTGACTTTATGTCCTACAGCTTAAAAAACACTGTAGGGGCAAGAATTCTAAGACACATGAGGCAATCTGAGTGCATAATCCTTTTCTATTTTTTTTTTTTTTAAGAATAATTTATCCCTACTATTTTATAGCTCTCTTGCATACATCTAACTCAGCATTTTTTAGTAATTACCCTTTATCAAATCTTTCTAAAACATTTAGCTTAATTTTCACAGAAACAGCATCTCTTTTTCTATTCTTTTCCTTGGTTTATGTAATTATTTAAATTGTGTAATTAGGCCAGTTGCGGTGGCACATACCTATAATCCCAGTACTTTGGGAGGTGGGGGCAGACAGATCATCTGACCTCTGGAATTTGAGACCAGTCTGGCCAACATGGAAAAAACCCATCTCTACTAAAAATACAAAAATTAGCCAGGTATGATGGCATGCACCTGTAGTCCCAGCTACTCAGCAGGCTGAGGCATGAGAATCCCTTGAACATGGAACGCAGAGGTTGTAGTCAGCTG